CTTGAAACATGCAGTTTTGATATCCTGATAAGCAACAGGAAAGGAAATAGATATTACAAATGAAAACAGCTCGAGTCCCCAGTCCTTCTTTTCTTTCTCTTTCCCACTTGCAGATTTGCTCCCTTAGTTGATATTTGGAAATTCTCTAGTCTCAGCATCTATTTACTTTATTTTATTTTTGTAAGTGTCCTTGAATGTAATGGAAGAATAAACATTTCAGTTTTCACAGCCTTGTGGCCTTTCATGGGAGCTTAGCTGCATCCACTGTGTTTACAAAACAGAGCTGCGTCATTGCATTTGTTAATTTGATGATTCTTGGACTATCTGTATTTTTGGCTGCCAAGCTCCCATTTAAATGTAGAGTTTGTTATGTTTTCATAGGCCCCAAGACAAATTTCTTGATCAAAGTTTTAGAGTGAAACAGGACCAGCCAGTTTTATAGCTCATAGAATTACGAAGTTGTCAACGGTTGTAGACCACTGGTGAGAACTCTGTCACAGCAAGGAGCCAGCCCTACATGCTCCCTCCTGAACCCACACCAACCTCCGGGAGGTTGCACTCTGTCAGGGGAAATGCCAGCAGGCTGAAGCCTTTACCCTTGTGCAGGTGTGTTTGGGCTTGGACTGGGAGAAGAGCCATGACTGTAGTTGGGGTGGAAGTCCCTGTTCCTAATCCGCAACATGAGAGGCAGAATCTTGGAAGAGGGGTGATGACAATACAGGCCTAAATCTCCAAAAATCTGGGAGTGGTGAATTAAGGTAACACGAATTTAAATTCTGGGTAAGCAGGAAATATGAAGGTAGAATATACAGCACCTCCAAATGGTGGGGAACTAGGGGATGGCTGCACTGGCATTGGGAGGAAGACATGCTGGCCTGAGGGTAGAGTAGGTGGACCATGAATATGGCTGGGAAAACTTGTCTGGAGACAGAGAAGAGTGTTTGTCTCAGTGCAGAGCTCAGCTCAGCTCAGGAAAACAAAGGAGTATTTCCATCCAGCTGCCATTTATAGACTCATAAACAAAAGCAAGCAAGCAAGCAGTTTTGTATGTACTGTGGCTTATAGAGAGTTAATGGCTTACAGAGAAGTCACGATGACAATTATGGTAGTGAATATAGGTTGCAAAATGTGGTGACTGATAAGAGGGAGAGAGCTGTGTCTTACCATTGTATGAAAGATACTGTAACCATCAAAAATGCAACTGTCAACTTATTTACAGCTTTTTCTGCTCTGCCAGCACCTGTGCCCTGTAAATATTATTTGTTTCAGTCCTATGAAGTAGAAAACAGAACTGGAAGATGTCCACAGAATTTCAGCAGGTCCTTTACCTACAACTAGGCACAAAAACATACCACCTGCACAACCTGGGAGTGATGACAGCTGCCTAAATTCATATTAAAGAGAAAATTGCTTCTCTTTTTAATCGCTAAAAAATTTACTGGCAAAGATTACATTAGTACAGTGCCAAGATTGCACACTTCAGACTACTGAGCTCAGCAAAACTTAAAATGTCTGAAAAACAGGACATATGCTAAGCATCTTAGCTCTGTCCCCTTTGAGCAATGCCCCAACATGCCCATTGCACATATCCTGCCTTTGCACTGTTACCAAGCTCCTGGGCTATGACCATGAGAGGCAAAGACAGGAGAGCTGTGCCTTGATGGGACATACCCACCTTTGTCCTGTCCTCAAGCACTGAACCTGCTTCCCTGAAACAACATCAGAACTATTGCATTTTATAACCCATTTCTCCTTATGAAAAACAAAACAAAACAAAACAAAACCAAAAGGCTGTCCAGGACCATACTCTCAGTTAAATACCTTTAACTCACAGATTTCTGTCATATCCCACCTTGTTCCTGATTCTCTACACGGTAAGAAGACCTTTGTACATCACAAAGTGGTAAAATGATTTTCCCTTCAATCACCCCAATGGTAGAGGCCTGGAAGAAGATTTGGTTCCATCATTCAGATCTTCTCAGCTACTCCACAACCATGGCTGCTGCTCAGGGCACCCCCAGCGCAACACCAACACTTACTCTTTGAGCCCTTTGCTTCCTCCCTGCTCTGCTTCTAAAGAAAGCTTTTAGAAGACTGAGAACAGAGGAAAGAAAGAGGAACTAGCTTTAGTCTATGTGTGCCAGAAGCAAAAAAGGGATGGAGAAAGATTACTGTGGAACTCCCACACCTTGGCTCATGTGAATAGCCCCCCAGAAGTGGTGTGAAATCAATATCTGAGTTAAGGCATATCCACACGAAATGGGGTTTCAGCAGATTTTGAGGGCTAAATATTTAGACTCAAACTGATGGTCAGGTAGTACATGATCTAGAAGGAGTGTCTGAAGATATGGTGAGGAAGAAAAAATGCCTGATGATATCTCCTGTGTGCAAATGGAGTCCCTGAGTATAGGAAACCTTGCACAAGGGATCTAAGACCAGAGCTGCATTAGTTGCATCAAATGGGAGGGAAAAAAGGGGAACACAGTGAAACCAGAGGAAAGTATGCAGTTGAGCTTGAGAAAGGGTGATTAAAGGAGTCCTGCTTTCCACAAGCTCTGACAGGTCTGTGAGCTACTCTTGCCATGCGAGACTTGGCATTCCCTCACACTCTTCCCTGGGCAGCACAGCTGGGGGCTGTTTGCCATCTGGGCCTCTTCCTTAAGACACAGAGGAGACAATTTAAGTAAGGGCCAAGAGGGGAAGGCAGGAAGAAATGTGATTGCCTTCATTCTAAGCAAACCTGACAACACGGACTGAGCCTGCCTTGAGCAGAGGACACAGCCTGCCAACCCTTCTGGCATATCCTCACTGGGAGCGTACGATCCTCCGCATGTGCACAGCCATTGTCAGTGAACGGAGAGACAGTGGTGCTATTGAGCAGCCCCGAGAGCACCATTAGCCGCCTGGCTCTTCCGTCCTCTCCTGTGAATGCATTATTGATGGTGATCACAGAGCCGAGGAGCTTGCAGCCTGCCTCGTGCCTGCAGGAACCAGCAGCCGCTTTCCTGGGACATTACTGCTGGCACTGGCCATCCTCACAGTGTAGCAGGAGGGAGAGGGGCAGAGGGGAGGGACTTTTGGACCAGGTTTGCCATTGCATTGTGCTTACAACTGAATTTTCCCTCAGGATTGCAAACCACAACCCCAGACTTCACAGATGCTTCAACACCCAGGCTTCAGTCTCCATCTTGGCCACACCAGAGTGGGTGAAACTGGCACCTGCAGCATGAAATGTCATCCCACATGGCAGAAAGTCTATCCGTCTACCTTGTCCACCATGCCTGGGAAGAAAGCAGGGCTGGCAGTGAACCTCATGTGGGGTGCTACCATCCTGCCCAGCTTCCAGGCATGCATAGACAGCATGGCCCTGGGAGGCACTATGGGACAGAGCAGAGAAAATGCGAATAGTGGTCATGGAAGGACCTGGAGAGCAGAGGCCTTGCTTCAGTGGACCCACACTTGAGCCTTTAAGATGGAGGAGAAAACCTGGCTTTTCTAGGGCCTGGGAGAGGACAGTGTGAACTTTGCTGCAGTCCAGGAAGCCACTGAAAATTGCTTCACCTGAAGTGGGGCTTTACTCTCTCTGCAAAGAGTGGAGATGTGTTTTAATCTATTTTACACAGCAAGTCTGAGTTTTCCCATTTAATGACCACCTTCCTTTGGTTTATAATGTAATGTTCTGATAAAGCTAACCCAAGAGACTGGAAATCTGTGGTAGTTTTTGGCATGCTCAGCTGTGTGACACCCATACCTTAAGGCTCTGGCCAATGCAGTGTACCATCACACCTTGCCATCCTCCACCTTTAGAACAAAGTGTTCCTGAGAACTTTGGTCTCAGAAGTAACCAGCAGCAGAAGAACCACCAGGGCATAACTCAGCTGTTGACTTCTTCCAGCATGAAGATGTGTGTCCTTACTTCACATTGTAATGGTCTGGCACGGTAGTGCACCCTTATACTTTGGAGAAAAAGCCATTCTTCCTGATTCATAGTGAAAAAAATATAGAATAAGGAAATTTCATGTTTTTTATTATATTACCACAATACAAAAGTGCAGGATTAGACATAGCCAGAAAACTCTTTCCTTCATTTATTTCTTTGCTGCTAGAAAGAAAACAAAACAAAACAAAACAAAACAAAACAAAACAAAACAAAACAAAACAAAACAAAACAAAACAAAACAAAACAAAACAAAACAAAACAAAACAAAACAAAACAAAACAAAACAAAACAACAACCCATTAGTAGTTAACTAGGAGCTGCAAAGTAACAGAAACTACCACCTAGAAATTTGTTCTTCTCATTCAAGCTGAGATTACCAGTACATTATCTAGGAAAATACAAAATCCATAGTAAGTTTAGTAAAGACTCAGTCCAGATGCAGAACTCAAAGAATCAAAGATGTCTCCCCAAAGCACGGGATTAGCACCATATTTACTTGGCAAATTCAGCGCTTGTTTTAATCAGCAAGCTCTTGGTATATGTCTGCCTGTTAAAAATGTTCAGGGTTGCTGTGCCTTAAAATGAGAGGTGACAGTGAAATGTGATAGAAAAACAGTGGAAATGTTGTCCAGGTCAGAAGAAGGACAGTTTCTAAATCACGTTCCTGCCTTATCTGCAGGGATTATGTCTCTTCTCAAGTGTTAAAAGTATTTTCTGCCTCCTGGTTTTACATGAAGGCGAACGTGTTCGTTGGATCTGTGGAGATGCAGTTCTCAGGCTCCGTTCTTTCCCACCAGAGGCAGGTATGTGCTACACCCATCCCGTAATTAGTGCCTGCTCTGGGCCTCTTGTGGAGGAGGATTGCAGTTTGCCAGCATATTTGAAACAGCTCTCCATGTCATTGGGAGTGCTCCTATGAAAGCATTCTGGCTTATTAAAACATCCAAAATCAAATATGTGCCTGCCAGATAAAGGATCATCCCAGCTAGAGATGAAAAATGCCTTAGATTAGAGAGTCCATCCCCATGCTAAGGTAGAATATAGCTCTCAACAGACTCACCTATCTCTGTAATGCTTCTTGATTTCTCTGCAGGATGCATGCCAAAAGCTTTTATCATCAATCCAGAGGAGGATCTACACAAGAGAAATTCCAAAACAGCATCAGAGAACAGTATGCTTTTTGCCTTCCCTCTCTCGCTATTTCCTCACATTAAACAATTCATTGACTTTAATTGTGCTTGCCTCAGGCAAAGAATCCTGGCAAATTTGAAGACCATTTTTATTATTAGTTAGGTGAGTTTACTTGCCAAGCATACTTTCCCAAGTTCTCTGAACATCCTACTCATCAGTTGCTAACAAAGGCCCCATTCACATGAGGGCTACCAAATGGGTTTGCAGCATGGTTTACAACTGGCCCAGGGTGAGAGCTTTCAGACCCCCTCCTCTGACTGCTGCTATGACATCCAAGGTCATCTACCACTAAGGAGGGCACTTAAGCCTCAGTACAACTCACCTAAAGGAAGGCTGAAGTGGAATTGCGAAGCCTTGTAACAAAATTGCAATCCAAAAAGTCCCTGTTCTGCTGCTTCTGTTGTTCAGCAGAGCCCTCCCAAGGTATATTGAACTCTGCTTCTTCAGGTGTCCAGATGTGATGCAGATTGAGCAGTCCCTTCTGTGTGCAGCCAGTAGCTGTTCCTTCTCTAATTTAATAGCTCCAAAAGTAGAAGATACAGGTTCACCTCCATCTTCAGCCCAAGGAGGTTCTCTTTCCCGTTTTCCTAGGGAAATGTCATCTCTTTCACATTTTCCCAGGGAGTGCTCCAATCACCAGAGTGAGGAGGGCAGGAAGACATTGTCCTACCTTCTGGCTGAAGCTGGATCCAAGAGCCGAAAACAAGATTAAGTCCAAGAATTTTCTAGAAGAGAGAGGGTGAGTCTGTAGTGGCTAGGTTTAAATAAGGCTTGTCAGGGTGAAGGAGAAATTCAGCCTAGGTCTGTGTGCTGCTACCTCAGCTATGGAGGTGGGCCCTCACCAAGAAAAGTCCTGAATTTATCCTCTAAGGCTCTGAGATTATGCTGGGGCCCTGGCAGCGCTGCAAGGACAGAGTGCCAGCCAGGCAGCCGCAAGGCTCTACTGGAAATTCCCCCGAGGGCAGGGAGCAGGCATGCGGGGGAGTGTCACAGGGGCACACTGACTCCTCTGCTCTTCCCCAGCAAGGGACAAACATGTCCAGAGAAGCTGTTTGAAGTTGAGTGCAGGTTAACTTGTTAGTAACCCGTGCCAGAGCTAAATCTTTGTCTTACTTCCTTGGGATCCAAGGAGGAATTGGAGCTGAAGCGCTTGGATCTGTGTCTGCTGCTGGCCCAGTCCTGTACTGGCAAGTGATAAGAGACTGCCGCTGAAGCAGCCTAGCAGAGGTGATGTGGCTGCCAAGCAATGTCTTAGGAGGGCCTACAAGTGGAGGCAGAGAAGAGCTGGAGGGAAGAAGGTATCTGAACCCTTACGAGGTGGTGAAGTCTCTCTTCCGCTTGCACGGGTGTGGCAGCAAAGCTGCCTGGAAAATTGTCATCAGACTGCTGTTTGTGCCATGTCCCCTCTGCTACCTGGGGATAAAAGATCTGCTTTGCACTTCAGAAGTGCTGAAGGGCATGTGGGACCGTTTCCAGGGCCCAAAGTACCACACTCGTGAATAGTCTGAGCTAAAAAACCTGCCTGGAAATGAGGGTCATCGGGAATGCAGAGCCTGGCGCAAGGGCAGTAAACCTCCACTGACTCTCTGCTAAGTCACAGGGATGTCTACAACACACCACTCAGAAATCCTGCATGTTCCATATTGCCTTGTACTGCCATGAACAGGAGGGTCCCAGCCATAAGCCTTCATAAAAAGAGTGCATATTTTTAATTAAATGCTGACAGAAGAAATTTTTCTGAGATTTATTATGAAAATCAGATGGAATTTTTGGTGTTTCTGTTCTGTAAAAGTCCAGTTTGACTGTTCAGAGAGTGTGGACTGTGCAGTCTGCCGCTTCTGCATGCTCCTCCCCATAACACAGACTGCTCCTTAAAACCCACAATATATCCTTTTATCTGAACATAATGCATGGGGCAACATGAGATGGAGCTGCTGGTGGAAGAGGTCATGAAGTTCCGCTGCACTAGCATTTTGAAAGGGAATCCTATTTTAAAAAAAAACCCTGTGACAGTGCTGCAGAGAAAGATCCTGCGCTCTGTCAGTGTTTTGGCATGGAGTTAGGAGGGAGTATGGGACTGGACACAAGCAGAGAGTGGGATTTTCTTGGCATTGGCCACAATGAGTGTGGTTGTCCAAAGAAAGATTGTGGGGGAGGCTGAAGGGATAGAAGAAGACAGACAAATTAAAGGGAAGTGTGTTCCTACATAATGAGACATTGTAATGTATGTTAAAAAAAAAAAAAAAAAAAAAAAAGAAAGTCCAGGGCTGTGAAAGGATTTCCCCAGCAAGGGGGTTGAGCAGAACATAGTTTTGGCTTACCATTATGGGCTATTGTGTCTTTGTAGGCATGAAGGTCTTACACTAGACCAGCCTTTGTGTCAAATCTAGCTGCAATGCCTGAGTTCCCCAAGCTGGCTCTCATCTGTGAATCAGCTTTGGTTTCTTTCTACCCATGCAGCTGCTATTTTTTATTTAGTCTAATTTTAGCATATCTACCAGCAGCTGCAAATGTAAATGGTCCCATTTGGTATCCAGCACGTCTGAATGGAGAAGTGGCCCATGTGAACTATGTTGGGTTCCCCTTCTCTGGATAACTTAAACAATACACTAGTAAGAAAGAGCTTCTGCAAAGTATGATATTATGATAAATTACATTGCACAATTTTATGTGCTTTTTTTGTTTTGGTTTGGTTTGGTTGTTTTTTTGTTTTTTTTTTTTTTTTTATTTTATTTTTGCTGCTGGTGGTGGTTTTTGTTTTGTTTTGGTTTTTTTCCTGATAAATTCTAGATACAAATTGTAAAGGTCATACACAAATATTTCCTTGCAGAATTTGAAAACAAAGGACTTTGTCCATGAGCTGCAACACTAGACCTGGAAGCTGAAACTTACTGGAAGCACAAAGATGGGACAGAAAAGCACACTTCCTCCAATGAGCAGTATTTTCACATAACAGTATGTTTGTTTCTGAGTAAAGGAAATGAACCATCTAGGAAGAAAAAAAGGATGATTCCCCCTGCAAAAAAAATCAGGTAGAGATAGTAATAAACTGATGAAAAATATTAAATTTATAACAGCAAGTACTGGTCTTCCACGTTCAAGACAGTTTTCAGGAAAACCGCTGAACTATCTGGAGAAATTGATTAACTAGGATCACTAGGGATTTGATATATTTTGATATATTTTGAGACATATGTTTTTTTTTTTTTCCTGCTTGCTCTCCTACACACCTGCTCATGGCTGCCCCCAGCACCTGACTTCTCCCACAGCCCCAGCACTCATCTTGCACTCAAGAATCGGCTCAAGTTTGGCTCCAGCCTGTGTCAGTATGTGGTCTGTGGCCTGCCAAGGTTTCACACACATCAGTTGAGTGCTACACCAAAACCAAGACAAGAAAATTGAGACAAGAAGCTTATGTCTACTCTTCAATCACTGTGCTTCCATTGAAAAGAGGAAAGTACTTTTATTCCCCTTGCTGATACAACAGCTCTTTGCTGATCTGTGCACACTACAAAAGAAAGTCAGAGGTGGGTAGTCTTTTTGCTCAGTCAAACTCAGATGTTTTAGTTGCTGAACAAGGTCTCTGACTTGGGTTATTATTTCTTATTATTTCAACGAAATGAGCAATGTAGGCTCATAATCTCAAGATCGTGCAGCAAAAGGTTTAATATTTGCTTATTCAGGGACATACTTTGAAGTCCTGTCTTCTCCCAAATATCTTTCCATTTTCTAGCCAGGGACTAAGCAGTGTGGGATGGTTATACAGACCCTCAGATCAGCCCTATCCTGCCCTGGTTGAGTTCTACCCATCCTATTGTGGTCCCATGTCTCAAAAGAGAGATCAAACTGGTTTCTATTTATTTTTATGTATATGCCATGAGACAGACAAGCTGGGTGGGAATTTGAGAATAATAATACTTAAAATGTCAATACAAAAAAATTATTTCACACCTTTTCTCCTTAGTGAATTTAGAAGTTTCATGTTCAGTATTTCAAACCAGCAATCCAGATGTGACCTCACAGACCACTGGCAGTCTTTGCTCATTAATCTTGCTGAATGAAAAGTGAAGATCTGTTACAGTCATTGAGTAAGGCCTAACATTGGTTATAGAATCATAAGCACAGAATCAGAGAACAGTTCAGGTTGGAAAGGACCTTAAAGATCATCTAGCTCCAACCCCCCTGCCATGGGCAGGGACACCTTCCCCCAGCCCAGGTTGCTCCCAGCCCCATCCAGCCTGGCCTGGAACCCTTCCAGGGAGGGGGCAGCCACAGCTGCTCTGGGCAACCTGTGCTAGTGCCTCACCGCTCTCACAGGAAACAATTTCTTCCTAATATCTAATCTAAATCTACCTTCTTTCAGTTTAAAACCATTACCCCTTGTCCTATCACTACACCCCCTGATAGAGTCCCTCTCCACCTTTCCTGTACCCCCTTTAAGCACTGGAAGGCCGCTATAAGGTCTCCTCGGAGTCTTCTCTTCTCCAGGCTGAACAACCCCAACTCTCTCATCATTGTGAGGATGAACACCACACCTGGAAAAGACTGTGTCAGTTGAGGGAAACAATTTAAAAAATATTTGTTAAGTGAGTAGATGAGGAATTCAGTACCCTTGCCTGCTCACTGGGTTGAACAACAAGTTTGGCCATCACTTTGGGTACTCTTACTGCCTGCCTCCTTGTTTTCAATCATGGACATGCTACACACTTCAACTACTTCTCCAAATTCTACCTGGTGCCTGGAGTAACCCATGTAAGCTTTGGTGATCCTCACACCCTTAGGCAGCAGGCTGACTTTTGCATGTAATAGTTCTTCTTTTTGGTTCAAGTTTCAACATCATTACAGGGTTGTCAATACCAGAAACACTGTACTGAAAACCAAGTACAGCTCTGAAAATCAGCACGACAGAATCAGGCCTTTGGGTGTAAATTCTTCAGGTCTATCACCTTGTCTTGCACATCACACTATTTGTACAATGGAAATAGTAACTGGGCAAGGAATCCTGTGACTAGAATAATCTGCACCCTGGCTGAGAAGAGGCAATGCACGTCATTGGCAGTGGTGCACTGCCCACTTTGTTGTCATCACCATAGAACTCTGACATAAATAGATGTTGATATAAAATCTCCCCATCATGGGGGCCACAAGCTAGCCACAGCTTCTAACCTCTGTGCTACCAGGGTGTCCAAAGGCAGCTGAGGAGCAGCAGCACCTGCACACACTGCAGGGAACAGACACCTTCCCAGCTTTGCTCTACTGACAGGGGTGCTGCAGCGGGGACAGAGGAGATGGCGGGGCATCCCTCTGCTGCCTCCTGCCTCCAACCCTTGCTCGAGCTGCAGCATCTCCATGGAAGAGTTTCCTATTAAAGATGTGGGTTTAATTCAGAAGCACAGGGGCCTTGTGCTACTACTCAGAGCACAAATAAAATACAAAGCACTGGGACTTCATGTCTGAATTGCCTGCCAGTCATTCTTGGTCAGCAGTCAAGAGTTCACATCCCTTGCTTTCGATGAGTCTCTAGTTTTACTATCAGATCTCTTTTGCCATTTCAAATACCTGTTCCTTGTGCTTGTTCTTGTTTTCCACCCAATCTTTCATTTTAAGTACACCCAGCTAAAATGTATGTTCATGCTGGTTGGAATTATTAGTGGTCCCTGGTCTTCAAATACTGAAAAAATTACGTTATTGCAGGCCTGACTACTGCTGTATGTTTACACACATGATTTTTTTTTAAATGAGTTGTTACAGATATTTGTCATTAGAGATATGCAATATCCACATGTATTTAGATTTGTTCTGTAAATATTTACATGGCTATAAACAATGATTGCAATCTGGAGTGGCAGG